AAAACATAATACATTGTAAAATACAAATGTGCATTGTAAATGAAATAAACTTCCACTATTTAAGGACTCTAACTTGTAGTTCCAGGGGTGTCCCTAAAAACTCTTCAAGTCCCACTGGTGACCAACATCAATTTTCTCCCATAATAGAGGAAAGACAGTAGAGAAAAAATAATGAGAATAAATAAAATGATCACCAAAGGGAAGATATCTCTCAACTAATTCTTTATGGAAATATATAGAGATAAGTCTAGAGATCTTTTAAGTGGATATTAGAGCTTACAGGAGTTAACTGTAACCCTTCCACTAAGTCGATATGGTCCCTCATGGCAGGTTAGGGAGTTTTAAGTGGTCAGAATGCTACTAGTTAAACCTTCTTCCAGCTTATTTGGAGGAATTACAAGTAAAATGTAAGGCAGCAACGGTTAAGATATTGAACAAAAAAATCAAATGGAAGGATAATATTACCAATCATTAATTTCCCTGGCTCTTCTCCATTAAACTTTTCCTTTAGTTGCATCTAAAACAAATCAGTCACTTTTAGTGTAGAGTATGCTCTGTGGGTAAACATGTTATTTTCTTAATAAGTATAAATTAGACACTTCAGAAAAAATATTTTAATATCACTATTTCTCCAATAATATTACTAATAATAAATATTATTAAATTATTTTTAATATTATCACAAGCATTTAATATTATTATTATTAATACTTTATTTTGAATTGAAATTCAAATAATTAGACCTGCATTAATATGGGTTTTACCATCGTGATGGTTACTTTGATTCATTATGTAAATACCCTGAACTGTTGATACATATGCCTTATCAACCTTGTTCCCAAGGAGAGAACCCTGGGAACAATCAGAACACAGGATTTGTTTCATCTTGCTGGCTCACAGACCCAATAAAGTAAATACTGATATTTCTACAGAAACTGCCAACCATTTTAATTTATTAAATTACATGAACATGTACCTCACGGTTTTTCCTAACTGGAGTTGACGTGTTTTCATCCGAAAAAATTTCAATCACCTCTGAATAGACAGAAACCAAAAGAATTAAAATTACATAAATATTTTATAATATTTAAGCAATCTTCGGCTGATGATTTACAAGCTTTTCTCGTGTTCTCCCCAAATCCCATGTGGGTTATCAGGCCGGTAAACCTATAGAAAGTGTGGTCTATTGCTTTTATAAAATAACTCTAAGTTTACCGGCACAATAAATCATAGGTTTTTAACCAATCAGAATGCACATACTATCTTAGTTATTTAATAATAAATTATTTACTATATTACATTTAAGAAAAATAACAATCAGCGCCATTTTTAAGAGATGTTTTGTTTATGACATCTGATCTGCGAATTTCCGCAGGTAGAGAATTTCATATTAGCATATTTTAAAAACAGTCTAGTACATTATTTCTTTAGATTTCATACAAAGTAGCACAGTCTTAAATCAAATACCTGGATATTTGATGGATGTAGAACAAAGTTCTTCTACAGAATCACCATCACTGTCATGGCCTTTGACCTTATCATTTTCATTGTCATCACTTGAAATTACAATAACAGAGGAGTTCATATGAATTCTCTGCTGCCTTTTAGTACACAAACCATCACCGTTTTCTTTCTGAACTTTTCTTTCACCACCTAAAATGTTGAACAAGAATTAAGTGCAATTTGCTGCATTTACATATTTTACATTTTCATTCTCCAGAATATTAATTTAGTGAGTATTCAGTCGACAATGCATTGGTATTATTAATTTTTAGATCATTATAGGTGTCTAGGAAACTGCCCACCTGCCCCTCCCCTAAGTCAACATTTTGCCCTATGTGATAGTAAGTGTTAATGTTGGCTTAGGGGAGGGGAAGGTGGGCAGTTTCCAAGAAACGTGTAATGATCAAAACGTATAAGGATCCAATTTTTTTACAATGATTACAAGACAGCTCTCTTTAAATTCCTCAATGACTATCAAGGCTTACAAAATTGAAAGGATCCTGGTTTTATAAAATTCCACAAGCACATTGGGCAATTCCAGAAAATATCCATACCCAACCACGGACGGCTTCCATGTTTTAACCCCCCCTTGCCTTCAGAAATTCCAAAATGCGCTACCCCCCCATGCCCTCAGAATTCCATAGTCGTGAACCCCCCCTCCCCTTCAGAATTTCCGGTTTTTTTTGGAAGTACATTTTCGACTTAGCAACGCCTATAAGAACAAACGAACATGAATTTATGCCTCCTCAAGGCTGTGATCTAGCGGCGCCAGGTGACAAGCTTTACTCTTCAGTGACAAGAAAAACCTACGCTAGTTGCCAGGCCGTGCAAACTCCTTTTTAAGTCCGAATTTTAAACACCACTTAAGGTAATTTTACTCAAACAGACTGTTAAAATCTTTTGGCGGTCAAATATACCGTCGAGTCGTGTTGCGTCCTTTTATACATCATGTAGTGCGCACGAAAAGCGTTCTAATCTGACAGGCGTTCCTTGGAAGTGAGGACTGGTGCGAGTTTTTTACTGTTTATCGGACGGTTTCGGACGGGAGTAACAAGAAATTTGCAAGCGGTATTAAAAGATACATTTTCAGTTTTTATTCACGTGACAAGAAATTCATCAAGGTAAATGTGAAACCAACGTTTTACTGTTCACTAAAGTTATGAGCGTTAACACGTTCTGATCTATCGATGTTGTCTTCTGATTCCGCGGTCATACGTTCGTGGTTTATTTACGAACTACAAAAGTCCACAACAATAGCGTTTTCCAGGAACTTACTCTACACTTTCTACTCCAGAAATCCCACCTGTGGAATTCCCCCATACCTTCGGATTTCAAATCGTAAATACCCCCCCATGCCTTCAGAATTCCATAATCGTGAATCCCCCCTCCCCTTCGGAAATCCTTAAAGCCGTCCGTGGTATGGTATGGATATTTTCTGGAATCGCCCATTTAGGCAAATTTTCTAACTTTTCTAACTTAAACACAGTAAGCCAAATAAGAAGGTGGGTTTTGCAACGTAATATTAAGAGAATTTTACTAAATAACTTTAATTTAGCTTCAGTCTGGTGGATGAGACTGCAAAACAGTCTGTATTTTTGCATATTCAAGTATGCGAGAGCAATCAAACAAAAGGTCTGGAGCGAGGCTGAAAACAGAGAGCGAGACTGGGGAGAGACGCTAAAAATACAGACGGTCGTTTTGGCATAAATTTTAATTGAATTACTCGCTTCAATCCAGCCACCGGCAATTCCCATTGGCTAAATTTGGATGCAAGCTGTCAATAAGCTGTCAAGTTATGTTTACAACAAGTCATTCGCGATGTTCCCAACAATGATGATTTTCCAAGGGGCCAAACATTTGACTTTTGCAGGGGAGGTTGAAGGGGTGGGTATGGGTGATTTCAGAAAAAAATATCCTGCACACTGATTTGAGAGAGAAAATATTCTTGCAAGGAAATACCTGGGGAAAAATATCCTGTACTGAAAAAATGTCTCTCAAGGCCGATAATCTTGCAACATTATATGCTGGGGAAAAAAATTCCATCTCCGGAGATTTGAGGAAAAAAAGTCCTTACCCACGGGGGGGGTAGTAGTATAAACAAATAATAGCATGATATTTGGTGTAAATACCACTTGTGATATTTCAAAATTGTCTCAAATTTCACTGACCTAACAGCTTGTGAAATTACGTACAACAATTTGAAATATCACTTGTGGTATTCATGCTAAATATCCTACAGATCATGCTATTACCTATACAAGAATTTGACTCATCAGTCACTGTCAAGATGACCATATTTCACCAACTTTTGGTGGGTAGACATTGGCAGGAATTTATCTGGTTGTGGTCATCACTACGCATTAGCCTCTAGACCCTGTACCACTGCTATTTTGATCAAAAAATAGTTCATACTTCTAGCAACATCGGCAAAGTCTGGGAAGATAATTGTGGGAAACCAGAGGAGCTAAGAATCAATATGGAAAGAACATAATGCATTTTTTAACTTCTATTACTTGAAACTTACACAAACCAGAGTGTTTTAACCTTTAATTGACCTCGCCCACACTCCCTAACCTTTGGTTATTACTATTATTATTATAATTATAGGATGATGTCATTCTTGAAGGTAACATTTAATGCAAGGCATTGATACCTGGTGTTGAATTTTCTGATACTAATAAAGACGAGGCATAGTGCACTTGGCTGTAAAGGGCTTCTTCTACTTCGCTGTCTACATCATCATCACCTCTATATAGGTTAAACAAAAGCAGCATTAATACAGGTACATATATACAGGCTTTATGTAGAACATACACCCTTAAAGTAAAGGATTTATTTAACACTTACACAGATGAAGATTCATCATGGTAAAGTTGATCTTCGTATTCCTTGTACGCTGCATCGTCAAAGTCTTCATCACTGCTCATAACTAAGATCAACCTGCCGAAAATTAAAGTTGAAATTATGCAAGAGTATAAAAGAGAGAACACACATGCCCATGCATGCAAGCTACTTCCGGCATTCATACAAAAAATTCATTCTGCTATTTTTCTATATGAAAAAACAATAAACTTTTATTTAATAAAACACCTCATGTTAATTTACCTTAAAAAAGGAACGGAAGTACAATCTTCAAGTCAAATAATCCCAAGACGGAAACGACTTGCACAAACACAGCACGAAGCGAAAAAGTGAAAGGCGCAAAGTTCGAGCAACCTTGTCATATAAGATGAAACGAATTGTTGTCTCTCATATTTTTCTTGTTCTTTTTGGTAGAAAAGAATATAAAGGCGTAGTTAATCCAAATTCCTTCTTGCTTCACAATATAAAAGATGACATTTACAATAATGATAAAAAAAGGTTAACGTTTTCACTCCTAAAGAGAAGCGAAATTTATTCTTGTGTGAATTACATGGAATAATGACGAGTTAGAATTTTGATGAGCCCGCGGTGTTTGACTATTTGTGGATACACTATATTTCGCGATACATGAAGTAATGGTGGTAGATGTCGAGATCATGGCTGACAGCCTGGAACGTTTTGAGGCCGAATTGGACTTGGATGTTACTTTCAACGAGTTTGATGAAGAATTAAGTAATGTAAAAGAGAATGGTTGTGAACAGAACACAGAAAAAGTAATTTTAGTCGAAAAAAGAGAAGAAAATGTCAAGCAAATTTCATGCACTCTCGGAGATGAGAACGGGCCAAGCCAGAGTTTTGACAACGAAATAATCGACAGTGCAAGGACTTTAGTCGATAACGAAGAAGGCGAAGTATTAAGCTCAAGCGATGGTGAAGGCGAAGAGAAAATGGACCTCGATGAGAAAGCTGACGAAGACCAAAATTCTTTAACAGGGTCCGAGATGACGACAACTTTATCTGAACATAAAGGCTTAGCAAAAACAGATGATTGCACTTTTCTGTCACCAAATTCTGTTTTCAGAAATTTTGGCAAAAAGGAAAATTTAGTGAAGGATAGTGTGGATGAAACACTTAAGCGGGATTATGAAGCAGACAGTGCAGTTCTTTCTATGGAGTCTGATAGCTCTATGGATGACCAGTCATGGAAAAGAAAAAAGCGAGCAAGGTTGGAAGAACAAAGTCACCCGGGAACTGGTGAGGGAGATAATATCAAGACGTCAGGTAAATTTTTAAAATGGCAGAAAAGATGTGTGTGCTTAATACATGAGCTTCTTTACAACCTGTGTTGCTAAGAGGACTGGTACCTTTTTAGACTGCTTGCAATCCGCCTTTTCTCTTAAAATCCGTCTAGTTCTTATCTGATCCAGCAGGATTGAAAACCACGACGTTATTATTACAATAAGGGATTGAGACGAGACGAGAAAAGACGGACTGCTGACTCTTATGTGGTAAACAAACCCTCCGTCAGCCCCAAAAGGGAGTAACCAATAAGTCCATTGCACAGCTGTTGACAGATACTTGACTGGTCTGTGGTGAGATTGTAAGCAGTAAAAATAGTCATGCATCACAACCAAGTACAAACAATAGCGAACCAAGCAGTAATCTCAGTAATAAAATTTGTAAGGATATCTTAGGGAAGGAAACTGCTGAAAATTTCCTCAAGGGAAATGAATTCAAGGCAATCTTACCGGATGTAAAGAAAGTGTAATTTTTTCAGTTCATGTTCTATTTATAAATCATTTCAAGTTACTTGGATTTAATTGATTAATTTATTAAATTACCTTGACAGCTTCGTTGTCCCCAGACAAAACAAAAGAGTCAACAGTCTCTTATTTTTTCTTCGCGGGCTTATGCCCTTGTTTCTTGTGGCTCGCAGCTTTGCCACTCGCATGCTTAGGTTTCACATGCAGTAACTTTGCAAAGAAAAATAAGAGACTGCTCGCAGTCTAGTACCTCTTTGTCTCCTCTGCACATATCTTTAAGAGAGTATCAGAATTGCCTTCAGATCAAGGGTGTCTAGAAAACACAGACCTTAAAAATGCAGACTGCAGACAGTAGACCTCGAAATCGCAGACCTCAAAAACACAGACCTCGTGTCCTGGTGGAAGTTTGAGTCTGATTAAAGACCACATTTGTTGAAGACAGTTTACGCGTGGCGCTTTTTTCCCCTTTTTATGTTTTTCAGTCATATGGTTTTCCCATAAAGTTAAGTATGGATTTGTGGTTTTGTCACTAGCTTAAAGTCCATTGTCTGCATGAAATTTAAAATGCATAAATGTGAGCTTCGCTTTTAGCTCTGGCTAAATTTATGTACTATATTGCAATAAAGATATTTTACATGTAATTTTTTTTTCTGCTTATTAGCACATGCATCATTTCAAGTACTTTTGTCATTATTATCTTGATCATTTTGTTAGTAGCAGTTAAAAAATATTGCAAGAGATTATTTGGAAACTGTGGCAAAAATCGATAATTTATTGTTTCCATAATTTTCTTCAATAGTCTTCATAATATTTTTGTTTCTACTTTTTGTTTCCTTGTGGAGGGTCCAAGTATCTGTGTGTCTTTTATTACATTTTCTTGCAGATAAAGAGGTAGTCAAGAAAACTAGGGCTGGGAGGAGAAAACGTAAAAGGGAAATACGGAGACACCATAAAGATGGACAGCAGCCAAAAAATAGCAGATCCAACCATCAGGATGTTGAATCAGGAAATCAAAAGGTGCTCCAGACTCTGAGGGTCACGTCAGATGATGCTGAGGAAGTTGTTGCTAGGGAAATAGCTTACAAGTTAAATGAAGTAAGAATTCTCAAATAACTTATTAAAATATTTTATCATTGTAGGGCATCAGTGTGGCCAAGTAGCCAGTACTTCAACCCATAATGATACGATAATAATATAATTTATGATGTTGTAACTATTACTGACCTTGTCTACATTTAGTGTGCTGTCAGTTTATGTCATCTCTCCTCCATTTGTTGATGGTGCTGCTATTTTATTTATTTACACCTAATTGTAACAACATCGTCATAGAAAAATCCTTAAAAAATAAGAAGAACACTCTATCACCATGGTAAACTGATCCAAGGCAATCGCTGAATACCATTATTTTTACCCTTTAGAGTAAGGTGATTCTTATCCAACGAGTTGTGACATGTATTGGCTGTGAAAAGGCAATAAAGCTCTTCAGGGACACACAGGAGGTGGAGAGACATGGAGGTATATGGACAAAGGATGGAGATAGGAGGTAAGGTTTTTTTTTTGTAATTTATTAATTTTTATTTTCATTTTACAGAGCACACTTAATGTAAAAAAGGAAAAACAAACACACAAATTTACAAACATACAAAACAAAAAACTATTTTGTTTTATTTGTTTGTTCGTTTGTTTTTCCTTTTTACATTAAGTGTACTCTGGTAAGGTTAATATGACAAATGTTTTACAATGCAGTAAATTGAATATGTTATGTGAGCTGAAGGCAGGCCTAGCTTAAATTCTGCTAGCACTTCTACAGCACTGCTTTAAATGCAAATATATTTCGTATATTCAAGAAGATCTCCAGTATGCCTGGCCACCCTCTGTACTCTTCCATCCCCAAAACGAAAGAAAGTTCAGTGCGCCTCTGAGTTCCTAGCAGTCAACTCCCTAGGGTTAATACCCAGCATTTTAAAAATAGTTTTTTTAATAGGCTATTTTTCAAATATAGAGTAGCTATTTAATGTAATGTGGATCTTGAATGTTAAATTCAATGCTTCTACATGGAATTTTTTAAGCCTTGGAATTTTTTTCTGCTGTGTTTAACATACATGTAAGTGTTCTTGGTTTTTAGCATGTATTTTTACTTAAAAAACAATAAAGACCTTTTATTTTATTTATTTATTTATTTATTAACATGACCAAACACATTCACTGATAACCAGATGTAACAAACTACAAATCATCAACAGAAAACTGACAGATTATCTTTCATAGGGTTAAAGTAAGGTCTAAGTCACAATTTAAATTGTGGCATTGGTAGATTTACATAATGAGGTGCCAATGGCAGAGGTTTACATGGCAAAGGCCACTAAGGAAAAGTTAGATGAGCTGCATAATCATAAGCTTATTAAGGCCGTTTACAAGCAAAATAATAATAAAAGAAGTCTACTCCATATACCCACCAGTTTGAGTTCAAAGTCATTCATACAAGCATATAGCGGTAGGTACTGTAAATGTATAAAGTGTTTTGCGTTTTCACTTTACAGGCGCACAAGTGGTGGAGTGTTTTTGTCTTTGCTAAAGCACAGATATGTTACCAAAGAACAGAGCAAGTGGATTTTTGCCATTGAAAACGAGATCAGTAAAAAGAAAGCGAAAGAAGAACAGCAACGGATGACAGAATTTAAAAAGAAAACTGTGTCAGATTTGAGACTGAAATTAAAAGAGAGAGACAAAGAGTCGAAGAATTAAAAACCAAAAGATACAAAGGAAAAATTTTGTTTTCGTTTTTGCGTGTCATTAACATAGTGTATGACAGAGCGAGGTACCTCGTAGTGCAAGGTTAAAAAGAATCTTCTTTAAAAAAGTAAATCAAAATGTTAAAATAAAAGATATTTGTAGTGAGTGATGTCGTGTTTTTTTCTTCTTATAGTTTTGCTAAAGGAAATATTTTAGCTTAAAAAAATCCTGTTAAAGCATTCAACAAAGAGAATTCTTCTGATTCAGAAAGTGACATATGAATGTTTCGCATAGCTGCAGTCATACATCGGTGGAACATGGTATGCCCTTTCACCACTTCAGAAGCGAGAAAAGAACTGGAGCCGAAATGCCTCATGCAATTGTTTCTGGGATCGTTGCTGGGGAAGCGCCGATCAGCTATTGGCCATTTTTTCCCGCGTCTCTAGAAACAGTCCCAGAAGTCTTTGCGAAACTTAACGCATCCAGTTTTTTCTTGTCTCTAAAGTGGCGACAGGGGTCTGCAGAGTAGCACCAATCCACCTTACAGACTTGCCAAAACAAACGTTAAACAAAAAAAAAACAATTTCACTTTACCAACTTTAATAACCTTGCATAAATGCCTTGTTCAAGGAAAGTCGAAACCTCAGCTGTGTCTTGGCTTTGGAAAGAGCTCTTCTCAGTTTTGAATCGACGGGCTCTAAAGAAAGTTGTTTAACATATTCTAAGAGATTCTTCACAGACCAAGCCTAGCGTATGGTGAGCATGTCACTTTCTCTGCGCGCCCGTGGAAGAGCGGTTGTCTTTGACGCTAACTCTGGAATATGTATACCTTACTGATCGAAAGTAAGGATCGCGATGGCTGGATGATGATTGAGCTTTCTTCTTGGTTTTGTTAGTTTACAATATTTTCCAGGAGATGAAATCTTTTCTTCTCAAAACAAATTCCCTCAAGTAAGTGTTACGAAATGGGATCCTAACACCTGTCTATCTCCTACCTTGCAATGGATATTTTCATTTTTCTACCGGCACAAGGCGGGTAATCTTATGCGGGCAAAGAAACTCCTTTTATTTTCGATCGATTTTGTGGGTAATAACGAGGGCAAGTTTGCTTCGTCGTGCCCATATATTAAGCGCACATTTTGTAAGGGAATAATACAAATTAGGGTAATAGAAAACACGTATTTCTTCTCATACCATTCAGTAGTATTACTCTGGACCCAGTTGTTCGAAGGCCGATTAGCGCTTAACCTGGCGTTAAATTTAACCCTGGTTTCTTTTTCTTGTGCTCAAAAGCATTTTCTCGGATCATTTTCTCTGTTATTTTTAGAGCTTCCAATCATCAACCTTTTGACAAAAAGAATTAAAACTGAAATGCTTTTTACGCTTTCAAAAGTGAATTCAAATCTCGCACTAACCCTGGGTTATCTTAACCCAGCTTTGAACAACTCGGCCCTGGTGACCAACCTAAGGGCACGCGCGCGGTAGTCTCTCTTGCTGCGCTCTGATTGGTCAACAGAGAGATACAAATTATCCAATTAGAGAAAAGCGCGCGCAAACAGCGATCTTTATGATGTAGATAATCAGATCAGAAATCAGGATCAGAATTTGAGCAAAGCGAATTTTGTCAATTCTTATGATGACTTGACAAGATGAAAACGGCGATTTCTTATTTTGTTTTCGTGGTTCTCTTTCCGCTGTTATGCGAGAGAAATTCTTTACTTGGGATCAGAATTTATTACAACTGTTTTAAAGGTACGCTTCAATTATTACTTTTTAATGCTGCCTGTGTAAAGACTGCGCGGTGCATTCACTTAGATACCTTTTTCTGGGAAAGAGGTTGCAGACCTCTTACCTCACTGTCAAAATCAAACAAGTTGAACTTTCATACATTTTACTTTATGCAGCCACATGACTTCGTTGAGCAGAAAGAAATATTAATTAGACACAAAATATCAAAAACGCTTAGATGCACGCAGGAGTACCACAATGGCAAAAACGCTTATTTGCGCGCAAAAGCAGTTCAACAGTAAAAACGCTTATGTGCCGGCAAACGTAGCACAAATAGCAAAAAAGCTTGTATGTGCGCAAAAGTAGAGCAAAGAGCAAAAACGGTTTTATGTGCGCAAAAGTAGCATAAATAGCAAAAAAAGCCTGTGTGCGCGCAGAAGTAACACAAGAGCAAAAACGCTTATATCCGCGCAAAAGTAGCACAAAATAGCAAAACGCTTATATGCAGCGCAAAAGTAGCACAAGTAGCAAAAAAGCTTATATGCGCACATCCAGCTGCTGAAAATGGATGCGCTCATACGTTACCTTGCGCACGCACCATCCAAGAATCTGTCTGTATTCTCGCATTTTTTCCTTAACACTTTCTTTTAAGAAAAGATTTTGCTTCATTTTTCAGGATTTTTCCACTTAAGTGGAGATGTCCAAGTCTATTACATTACAGCAACCCTTGTGTGTGTTACGTTGTGCCTGTTGTACACGATGATTGCATTTCTGAATTGCAGAAGAAAACTTATTTACAGAAGTAGTGGGAGATATGGAGCCTTCATCTATACTGGCAGGAATTTTCATGGTAAGTAGCAATGAAATGAATAACTTTCTGACGCTGTATATTATCACTTTTTTATTTCAATAGTATAATTGAAGTCCTTACAAAACTACTGCAGACATATTTGGGTGTAATTTTTAGTCCTCTGTCTTCACGTTTTTGTTCCATAAGTGGTTTCTTGTACTTTTTAATTTCTTATAGAATTGAAAGTTAGAGATGGATATTCTGCCATCCCCACCATAAAGGCTGAATCAACGTTTGTTCGATTGAATACTGTGAATACTGGCACGCTTGAAATGCTGATTTGGTTCATTCTCCATGACCAATGTAAGTTGTTTTCAATTTTCAAATACGGTTCATTTGAACGTAAAGTTGCAAATTGCTACCGGACACAAGACCTATAAGCTTTAGAAGGAAAGAATTGCTGCTGAGTACAATAGGGACCTTAAGACCCGGGGGGGAGACTCCCATATGAAACAGACGGGGATGCTCGTCGTTTCGCTTAGGGGTGTAAATTTTGGATTTTGGTCTTGCTTAGGGTGTTCCGGGCAAAGCGCCAATATTTTAAGGCGCCAAGGTCTCGTTTAGGGTTCCGCGAAGAAACACAGAATTACGCGAAGAGAAACAGAAGTCAAAAATTTGCTTAAGCCACGCCCAGATTGGTCTCCTTTAGGGGTCACAAAAAGCTTGAGCAACGCCCAGATGGTCTCAAATTTCCGACGAGCATCCCCGTCTGTTTCATATGGGAGTCCCCCCGCCCTTAAGATCCAACGACGGCGACGGCAACGAGAACGTCAAAAAAGAATTAGGTTTAATAAAAAATAAAAACAACAACTTTTCACTTGCTACCAGGCTAACCGGCACCCTCGAAACCACATAGGACAATGAGCCACAGACTTATAACACAGTATCGTTACATTAAACCATTGTTATATATTAACGTCGCTAATTCTGTTTCAGTGCGTGTTGATTTACGGATGCTAAGATTGTTTCCGATTAACCGCCGCGCAACTGTTTACACAGTTGAACAGATTCTGGAAGGGCAAACAGAAGAACTGCAAGCTCTACAACAGTTCATCTTGAGAGACCAAGGTAGGCAATGATGACAACGATTTTTCTGTGCTTGCTCGAGCTCATTTATTAAATAATGTATTTTTTCCGGTCTCAGCGCGAAATTCAGGAATTATACGAGACTTAACTTTGGTGCAGCTCCGCAGATGTTAGCGATCATTTTATACTGACTTTACATTATAACTAGTTTATTAAGTAAGTAGAGTTAAAACAGAAGGTCATGGAAATTGGGAAGTCGATTCCTTGCGCAAGAGGGAAAAAGATGATCTTACTGAGCTTACGCAATCCATGCATCTTTGATAGAGCCTTCTCGAAATAAATTTTCTAGAGTGAATTAAAGTCAAGACCTTGTACTTGGTCACGGGCACCGTGCCCAAATTCTATCGTGGGTACTTGATCGAAAAAAGGGTGTGTTCACATTAATGCTCAGTGAGAACCGTACTCGGGCACCGTGCTCGGGCACTAAGTGTGAACGCTGCCTTGTAGTTTTTGGGATCCTAGTGAATGAACATCTTTCTTTTCAGCTGTTGGTTCATATGATGCACGAAACCGTTTGCGGAGTACGGAAAAGACTGTGATCGCCACGTGTTTTGGAGATGAAGTCCAAAGGGAAGAGAGATATCAAGAAAACGTTCATGAAAATTGTGTCGCGTTTAACGCAGAAGATATGAAATATCGGAAAGAAACTAGATCGAACGAAAATGACGACGACAGTAACAGCAACTACGAGCCTGCAAACGTTATTAGAAGAGCTTTGACAGTCATTTTTTCAAGGGTGAACATCAGAAACGATCAAACTTCTTCAGCACAGGATCACCAAGATCTTGGAAAAGATGGCTTGACAAAGATGGAGGGCTCGGAAACTCCCGAATACAGCGAAAATGGAAAAGACGAAAAAGTGTCGGTTACTGGAGACTGTTTGAAGGATAGGCAAGGGGATGAAAGAAGCTCTTCAGTTGTGAATGCTTCTGAGTCAAAGGAAGGTGCCAAGGACATGAGGGAAGTAATGAGATCAATGTCAGCTGAGTCTTGCTTGGTAAGAGAAGAATTTATCGGCAATGAAGGGTCAGTTGCTCAAAAGATAGAGGCAGCTGCATCAAGGTCATTAAATTTTCAAGAAGACAGTATGGACAAGGAGTTTAAAGAAGAAAGATTTCTTTATCCCAGTGATGTGGACGAAGGCTCGAAGAAGACTATCAAAGCTTATTATGGTATGGCAGGAGGGTTTACGACTGAATCGAGTGTCTCATTGACACAAGGGCAAGAAATTGAGAAGGACGAATACGATATCTCAGGAGAGGAATGGCAAACATTAGACAGAATTTGTCAAGGAAGAAGATACGTTCAGAAGTTGCCAATTCCGCGTTGTTTCCTGGGACGGCTGCCAGCTGAGACTGTGCCTGTTTATATGGACAGAAAAGCAACCCCTCGCCTTGTCTTGGACTATTCTGAGATCGCTATTGGATGTGGGGTGGCGGCGTTAACTTTGTTTGCTGTTTACAAGTGTTTCAGGTAAGACGACGTTTAGAATGTTTATTTGAGTCCGTATGGGTTGTAATGAGCTTAACTGGAGTATTATACATTAAATAGCCTAACCTCTTTTATATCCGTATATTACACCGTTTTATATAGTACAGCGGCTCTGACCTCCGATGAGAAATGTTGGGCCATGCAGTTGACCAGTGTCGTCTTTTGTTTTGACTTACTTTTAGGTAGAGTCGAACCCTCAGTTTTTAACGGCCAGGTCTTCTCAAAAGAAACGGCCAGAAACTTTCGTACTTTCTGTTTAAGGTGTAAAACGAATATATAAAATTTGAAACAATACATGAAATATTTGCGGGTCCTGTGGGTATAATTCCCGAGGTAAGAAACACAATAAGAGAAAAAAAAACGAATATATAAAATTTGAAACAATACATGATATATTTGCGGGTCCAATGGGTATAATTTCCAATGAAAGAAACACCTTGAAACACAGCATGGCAGCAACAGAACAAAGACTGACCTTCTTTGCAAAGTTCTGAGAAAATGTAACAGCAAGTTTGATTGCTTAGTCTACGAGATGTTATACATAAAGGGCATCAAGCCTTCTCTTAACACGCAAGCCGACTCCATTCGCGTCAAACTATTTACGTGACACTTTCGTACATTTTGTATTTTATTTTGTATTTTTATTTGTTTTTTCTTATTGTGTTTCTTACCTTGGGAATTGTACCAACTGGACCCGCAAATATTTTATGTATTGTTTCAAATTTTATATATTCGTTTTACACCTTATACTTTTTCACTTTTCAACTTGATAATGGCGTAACGTAGCGCCGAAACGTCGTTCACTTTTTTAAATGTATTTTAAAAAACTTTTAGCGTTTAACTTTTTGATCAAGTTATATCTTTCGCCTGAAAGATAGGTCACAGTTACAACTCGTTCTTAAGCTTCCTTCTCTTGCCTCCTGAGAACGAGGTTGCCCTTACTCCCCATCACGACCCTACGACGGCCACTTACATCTGTTCCCAAAGTAACTGTTGTTGAGAAAGAGGCGCCACTTTAGAACCGTGTACCAGGAGGGAGGCACTTTGTAGGATACAGTACAAACCAAAATGGAGTTTGCGTTACCATTTGTGAAAGCTGCTTTGTACCCAGCGTACTTTGAAGTTTTCCCATGATCCTTGCGCCGCGACTACCGTCGAACATCCCAAGAAGCGCCTGGGTACGAGGTTAGTATGAAAGGACTACTGGAATGTCCCATGGGCCAATGCAACTCGTTCTCAGGTTCCCTTCTCAGGCCCTTTCCCGGCTGGAACAGGAGAAACGGGAAGAGAATTGATCCCGGAAATTCAGTTCAGTAGGCTCCCCCAGGGTGGAGCTGCCAAAATGTTTTTGAGAAAAGCACGGCCCTAAACAGCTTGTTAAAATCTAAATTCGCCACTTTAAAAACGAGAAAGAAACAAGGCCGAGTTAACCGTTAGTTCGCAAAAGTTAACTGCCACCTGGCTAGCTCAGTTCGGAGAGCGCCAGTCTGCTGAGCGGGAGGTCGCGGGTTCAAACCCCAGCCGGACCAACACTCAGGGTCTTTAAATAACTGAGAACAAAGTGCTGCCTTGGTAATGACATCTGCAAACGGTTAGAATTTCTAGTCCTCTTGGTGGGTAGGACGAAAAATCATAGCTCCCGTCTCACAGCACTTTCACTTATCTATTCTTGTTGGACGTAAAAGACTGACCCACACCACTGTTCGAAAGAGTATAACGGGACGTAGACCCCTACGTCCCCTCCGGGGGTGGGTGGGTTATCTGTAAGGAGAAATCTTACTATTGGGATCAGGAGTCGCAATGGCTACCTGTAAACAGTGTATGTAATTGTTCATGTATGTATGAAAGACTTCTGAGACTGTTACTAAACAGGTGAAAAAATTGGCCAATAGCTGACTGACTGACAACCTCGTTCCCAGGGTTCTCTCCTACCCGCCCTACGGAAAACCCTGGGAACGAGGTTGACTGACTGACGCGTCCCCATTAACGATCCCAGAAACAACTGCGGAACGCGTTTCGACTCCAGTTCCCTCCTCGTTTCTAAAATGGTGAATTAACATTATACACAATGTTAGAACCAGTATTAACTAAAACTCTTTTTATTTCCAGACGTTGATCGACGCTATATTTTTCTTGCATTAACCACAAGATGCAGAGAGCTTTTATCTGGTTCGTTTAAGATGTCTATTTTCAACAAAACAGTTTCATGAGCTATTATTGACAGCTTCAGAGGGAAATATTTCCTTAAAAACAGGCTTATAAATCCATCATTTGAAGTGTTTTTTTTTTTGTTTTAACTGTTGAGGAACTGTATAACGAAACCCTACAAAGAAATCGCTCAGTTGTTTAATCCTCGTTCCGTCTTAATTTGCTTAAATTATTTCCATAGTATTGAATAATTTTATTCTTCATTTTCTTTTAACGTTCATGTAATAAAAGTTATTAATTGTAGAAGAACAAAAATAATAAAGTACACTTTAAAAATTTTCTGTTAATTGTTTTCTTCTACAGAAGATCGTACTTCCAATATTCGTAAGAACAATTAGAAAAGTAAATAGTGTTCGTAGCTGGCGGTTTTTTTTGTGTGTTTGAGAGACACCCGCGCACCAAATTCAACCGAGAACCGCGAGGTGGGGTTTGGTGGGTGGGGGGTGGGGTGGTTAGGAGCAAGAGAGAGAGAAAAAAAACTGTCACAGCACTGCCTTCTCCCCTCACCCCCTCTCCCATCGTTTCTCCGTTTGACCACAGTTCAGCTTTCACGCGGCTGAATCTCTCCCTTTACGAACCACAAATGAATTAAAACACTACCCTACATACACAACAAAACCGCCGACTGCGCAGCTGAAAAAGTTGGAGTATTATTGGTGTAACCCTGAATAAGGTCCTGTCCATCCACGCTAAGGCGTTTTCAAAAGTATGCGTTTCCGTTTTCATCGAAAACGCATCGTTCGATTCGCGTCCTCCCTACCGTTTTGATGCGTTTTCGACTGTCCACACTAAAACGTTCGAAAACGATAGAACCGCACGTGGTGACCGAAGTTGAACTCTAGGCCCACGCTACAAACAAACGCGATTTTTTGCGATTTTTGCGGTCATTTTTTTTGCGATTTTTCGGTCATTGTTTTCATTTTGATGCGTTTTTTGAACGTCCACTCTAATACGATATGTAATGCGTTTTCGTTTTGAGCCAATCTCAAGAGCTTTTTCAAATCGATCTGTTTTCGATGAAAACGCTCAGTGGATTAGTGTGGACGGAAGACACAGCGAAATGTATGAGTTTTCCAACGATAACGCACTAGTGTGGACGCGCCGTAAGAATGTTGATGACAGTGACTGACGTTTCTAAAATCAGTTAGTGGTCATCATCATCATTATTTGTTTTTTGACCTGTTACGAGGACTTCGTACATATGTCAATCACTGTCACCTATTCAGGTCCTGTTTTTGTTTTCCTGTGGAGAGAAATGCAAACTGAATTTCCTCCCCACAAATTTTATTTCATTAACGTACAGATAAATAATTTACTTCACAATTCAATCCTTCTGGAAAAATAATTAAGTCTGATTTATCACTAGTAAATGTTGAAGCCCAATTGGTTATTACTAACTAGTTCGTACAATTCACTTCAACATTATTTTGGTGGTCAAAAATTTAAAGAGCTCTAAATATTTTTATACACTTAATTGCAATAACGTTGTGTTAGAAAAATTCTAAAAGGAAAATGGAAAAAAAAGGAAAAAAGCCAAATGGGGATAATAAGGCTTACCAATAAACCACTATGGGCTGCGTTCATTTGCAACATGGCCGGTTTTTTCTTTCAGGCGTAAAAACAAACTGTAAGTGCGACGGCTGTACGCGTATGATTCACCCTACAGTGGTTTACTGATAGGTCTAATTAAAATTCCTATTTCCCTTTTTAACATTTTTTGAGGATTTTTCTATGACAATGTTATTGCAATTAGGTGTACACAGGTAACAATAAATTTCACTTTATTCTTTTTCAAATAATAAAACTGAATTGAAGGGTCCCGTACAAGCAAAGATTCGATCACGTGACACCGCCAAGCGCGGATTCGCCGAATAGAGATTGTGGGGAACTGACTAAAGCTATTCATCGTTCCTAGCGAGTTCTTTGAGTTTAAACTAAAAGATATCCGTTTCCAAAGGTAAAGAATGAACCTTGATAATCTTATCAAATTCTTACTCAAGACTGGCTAATTTGCCTCGATTAAGGTTTTCGGGTTAGACATCAAACCAGTTGCATGTCTGTTTCATCCATGTACGAAGACGATAGGTTTCTCGTAAATTGTTAAACAAGGAATTACTACAGCAGATGTTTCCCCCATTCACGACACATTCCCCCCCCCGGTTTTCTCTATTCCTCATAAATATCTCTAGATGGTACAAATTATTTCCCGTTTTTTTCATGTAATGGTTGTGCTGTTGGTAATACCAATTATACGAACGAATGTTGATGTATCTTTTACTGAGCCCAACACTGGATAAGGGGTACTTAAGAAAGTTTTACACGTAAGAGAGAAAACTACGCCCCGAGTTTCAACCCCCATCCTTTCATCCTTTCCATCCGTTCATACAGTATATCTACTCCGCTAAATGTAAACTTGTCTTGGACGCAATTCTTCACGAAAGAGAATAGGCTACAACCCGAGGTTCAACCCTCTTCCCTTTGCAGCATACAGTTTATCTACTCCGCTAAATGTAAACTTGTCTTGGACGCATTTCGAAAGCTTCCCATCCCTTCTGTTTTCATTTTCTTAAGTCGATGAACGACGTCGACAGTTTCTTCAAAATAGTGAACAAGGTAGGGCTCAGTCAACATAGAGGCCAAAAACTGCTCAAAGCAAATGGACCAATCAAGATCCAACATGCCTGAGGCAGGTCTTTCATTTGATTCCAAGGGTTCGTCAATTGATTGGTCAACTCCTGATGTCCCGGATGAAGGTCCTTCAACCGATTGGTCCATGCCAAAAGTACCTGATGAACGTTTGTCGTGTGATTGGGTGGTCAAATTTCCTTTGCTTTGATCTCCCTGTTTTCCAACGAGTGAACGAGAATTTAAGTCTGTTGAATGAGTAGATCTAATATCAGAGGCGTCAGTGGCTTTAGAAACGCTACCAGGATGAGAAACAGTATTCCCAAGTGTCAGTTTATTATAGACTTCACCTAATGTATCCAGTGTGCTTTCCTCATTAGAGGGGACCTGTTCAGGTGTACTAAACCCGTCATCACTCCCCACGAGAACAAAATCTTCTCCATTTGAGCTTCTTACAGGACTACTGAGAGAGGATTCACTACTCCTTGCAGCGTCCATTAATGCCTCCTTTACTAATTGCGGACAGCCCAGTTCAGAGGTGACTGTCACTTCATTAGGTTCAACCACTAGGTTAACCGAATTGGATGTAGAAGATTCGAGTTCAGCTACATGTAGTGGGTCCATAAACCGATCCATAGCTACACTTTCTGTTTTCTGATCAGCGGTTTTTTCTCCGCTGGTTTCCAACTCTCCTCCAAATTCTCCCAGTTTTAGCAGCATGTTTCCCACGGAAGCAATCGACTGGTACATTTCCTGTTCGTTAGGAAGTTCACGAAACAGCGAATACAACGTCTTCCACAACATGATAAAGTTCTCCTAGAAGACAAGGGAAATTGAGTTTAACAGTGAGTTAAGGAAACGTCTCCTTTATAACTAAGCTGAATGAGCACTTACAAATACCGATGGGGGTCATTGTCTTAACCTCATTATCTACTAAGCAATTCTTTCAAATCAATAGATAATTAATCAATCAATTAAAATCAGAAAATCAATACCTTGGCGTTACGGTCCACTCACGCATGGCGATGCCTAAGCTTCTGGGGACAGTGTCAACGTAGTAATTCAGTGACGTTGTAGATACGTGCGGGGATGGAGCGTGAAGAGAGAACGTCCCGAGACTGACGAGTACATGCCGACCGGTAACCGACGACATTAGAGTCCTGAAGATCGAGGTTTTGCAATCTTACCGCAAACGGCAAAGCGCGGTTTGTGGTAAGCGGTTTCACGTTAAGCGTCTGCCCATATTTGGGACTTAAGATTCGCAGGTGGCAGCTCGAGGCTGCCATGTTTGTTTTCATTCATTCGTTGAGTTCTATTTTAGCTGAGAAATCGTCTTCAAAATTACGTTTCGATGAAAAAGAGTTTTTAAAAAAGTAGTATGTCATCCCAAACGTGGGATCGTGATGTTTTCGGGAGCAAAAACTTTGGTAGTCTAGCCGTACAAACGTGAACCTCAAACTGAAAACCTGGCAGCAAGGCCCTAGTTACGTGACTTCTTGACGTTCGCGGTTTGCAGGAACGAGTGAGAAACCTCGATCTTAAGGTCTCTACAAATTTTTTTTCCCTCTGCTTGTTGCGGGATCAGAGCGACACTAAATAAATCCAACTTGATTTTTCTTTTGTTTTCTTTTGATTTTTCTTTTGTTTTCAGTCACTTAATTATGGCAAGGCAAAATGGCCCGCATTACTAGCAGCTAGACTGAACTTTATACCTGACTCATGGGTGGAATTTCCGTGACTTTCTTGTCTTCACTATTTTCACTGTTGTGCCTGTTCCTTTCTTCGCTTGCTCTCGTCACTAAAACACTAATTGGTCTTTCTTCGGCAACACATTGAGATTGAGGAGGCTGGTCACGTGACAGGTCTTCTGAACTTCCGCTTTCTTTGAGTTCTACACAGCTGTCGATTGACTCAGCATCACTGTTGTCCGTAGTATCGTCACAGATGGCCGGTGGGACATGCATGCGGTACATGAATAGCAGACGATCATGTGTTTCCCCATTGCAGATGATGCCGAGACCCTGGGCAAACTCTCGGAACGTGATCAAGCCATCCTCATCTTCGTCTATAACCTGTCATTCACAGTGTTGAAAATTAGAAAAAAACTGCACTGTATTTGATTGTCAATACTCCAAATGAGGACAAAATTTTTAAGTCGCCTCCTAGATGACGGGATTGCCATTTTACGCGGTCATGGAAGCCACGCGAAGGTCTCGCCGAGAGGGTCGAGCTGTCTAGCTGAGAGTTTATAAATGTTACCAGGGCGGTGTACGCGCGTATGATGCCGATAATGACTCGGTAAACAAGGGTAACCTTCAGTCCGTGGATTTTATAGGAAAGTATTATATATGTGTCGAGAAATGTTGTTTTAAACATGAGATTTGCTTTCATTTTTAGAATGGTCTGTGCAGAACTACTCTTTACAGGGTAGAGAACTTCCCATAAGAAATATATCAGTTTTTACCGACCTTGAAAGCTCTTTTAGCCAGTATAGGTCCGATTTCACCAGTCCCCCAGTTAGTCAGACATTCAAACAAAGGTTTAAATCTTTCCAAGTCAATACACTGGTTCTGTATGAGAGGGAACTGGGGAGGAGTGTCCTTGGCCTCGCCATGGTTACGAGTCAGAAGATGTCCTGCCTGAAAAACAAAAAGGAAATGCATGATAAATAGAGAGGAGAAGTCGATACGTCACGTTGTCATGATAGCAAAATTTCCGGATAACAACAAACCGGAATACGTCACTTGAAAAGTAAATCCGCACTTTTTCAGACTTCATCGATCTAGTTCAGTTTCATTTAATTTGTCAAATGTTGGGTAAATTTTCTGGGGTTAAATCCGAAAGGACCGTATTTGAGTTAAGAAAAAGAAAAAAAATTGTGTTGTGTTCAACTTCTTGATAAAGCGAGCGCGTCAAATTAGGAAGTTTCACGTCATAGTCGTGCAACGAAGGCTAAGAAATGTACAAAAAAACGTGCAAAGTTGTTGTTTTGCTGATCTAAACTTATCGCTTTTTTGCCGTTCTCGTAGCCGTCGCCGTCGTCGTTGCTTAAGCCCTCTGTTGTTGTAACTAAAAAATTTTGCTACCATGGTAACGTGACGTCACACTTCTCCTCTCTGTTATCCCTGACATTTTATTTCGTCCTCTAACAGGTTGCAAGACTTTCGGGACTGTTACTGGGGACAGGGAAAAAACTGGCCAATAGCTGACTGGCCCGTCACCACAAAAATGATCCCAGAAGCCTCTGCGAAAGTTAACTCACCTCAGTTTTCTTCTCGGTTCTTAGTGACCATGCATTATTCCCCAGTGCTGGGGGCGATATAATTTCTTAAGCTTAAATAATTCACCGCTATGACAGCAAATGAGGTGAGTTAATTACCTTAAAAACAGCGTATAACTGTTCCAGTTCTTTCTGCTGGAAAAGACATGCTTCCACACCAATAGACCTTACGGCATTTCTCCTCATACTATCCTCTAATCCCTAGGACAAATTAAATGAGCATATACTACAATACTTTCTACGAAATGCTTAGAGTACTCTCTCATATCCTTTTAAATTAAAAAACGTTGTAACTCCATGATTAGATATAGCGTTGTGACTGATTAACAAATAGATTCCATGTTACCGTGCGTCTGGTCAGTAAGAGGCCGTCGACGTATTCACTTTTCCCCGCTTAACGTGCAAGACCGCCAAGGCAAGCAGCACCCCAAACTTTGGGTGTCCTGTGGTTCCTTGGGTGTCCTGACTCTATTTAGGATTTCAAGCTGGTTTTATGTTTACCAGGATGATTTCACTCACCAAGTATGTCCAGCGACGTCATCATAGCTTAATTCTAAATCGTAACAATGCAATGGCGTCATTCTAATAGCCCACATTCGATATACGAAAATTCTCACATGACTCCGAGGCTTTAGGGTCAAAATTGCAAATTTTTCACGACTCCATCGTCTCGCAATGCCCAGGAGAGACGAGCGCAAAAAAAATAAACCAGAAATAGAAAAATGACTAGAAAACCTCAGTCATGTTACAATTTTAACATATCGAAAGTGGGCTAGCTACTGCCTGTGCTTACTTTCGCATATTGAAACGCACGTTCGTGGGGCAGGAACGCGTGACAAAGCCTTAGGAACGTCCGCGTGGGAGGCAAAAATGTGCTTACCTGTACAACTTTCAGTCTTTGTGCATTTCTCATGGAGTCAATGGTGTCGGCCGCGATAAAGCCAAATTTCTGATACGATTCTAGGATAAGGTTGGCTACATCCACAGTACTGTGATGCTAGAGACGACAAAAAACGATGCAAATGTTACTGAATTCTCGGAGAAATAAACACGAGGAACATTCGTCATTGACAAAGGAAGGCTAAGGTAGGATTAAGGACTATTTCTTTCACGTACATGACGTCTCCTCAATGTTGTGGCAAACTCTACTATCCACACTTACGTTAACCTATATACAGACCCTCTGTTTTCTCTTTAGAGATAATCGAGCGCGTGTATGAAAATATAAACCGCGGGGATTGTCGGAAAAAAAGAAAAACGTCTGTTAACAGGCTGCACACACGGAGATACAAACAGAAGAAGGTTGCAAACGAACTGAATGCAAGCTTTTTAAGGCTGCGTGCAAACGGACGCAACAACTCCCAACATTGTTGCGCCATTGTTGCTGTCATCATGGAACAAAAGAAATGTTGGGAGTTGTTGGCTGAAAAGTTTGACCGGTTTCAAACTTTGCACAACAACACACAACAACATCCAACAACATGCAACAGGGAGTGCAAACGGACGCAACATGTAACATCCAACAATGTTGCGCCCGTTTGCACGGGGCTTAAGACCGGCAATCTCTCCAAAGTGCTTTCTGTTCCCACGCCAACTTCTGCAGTTATTTTAGCCTTTGAACGGGCTCTCCGTTTGGGGGAAGGGGACTAAATATCGCGAAGAGATGGGAAGAGCGGACTGTTTTACCTTGTTTTCCCTTTTTCCCCACCATGACCAAGGAGCATGGCCCCAGACTACACCTTCTTAAAAACTGCAAATCGCCAGTGAAAGCCATAGCAGGAAACGAAAGCTACCTTCATAATAGCAAATATTTTCGACATTCATGGTTCTTTGCGTGTCTTGAGACTGATAAATGTGATATTTTTTTTTATGAGTGTCGATATATTTTAAACTATTAAAGGACCGTGTCAAAACAAAAGCTACGCACACACAAAAAAGTTTGGACAAACAGTGATCCTTACCCCGGAATTTCTGTTGGAGGCTCCTTGATTGGAGGGCGGCACGTTGGCGTCTCTGTTTGTCACGTGCTCCAGGTAGTTTCCTAATACGGTCATTGCTTCACCATCATCTTGAACTGCTAAAAGTTTGTTTCTGTTGGCATCAAGTGTGGCCAATGCAATCTGAAACAGAACCTGGAAAATGCTGTCGATTTAGGATTCAATTCTGCATCTTAGGCCTTATTCACATATGGACGAAATCATAAGCAAGAACAACATACGCGTCTCGTTATTGACAAGTTGTTCGGCTCGCTTATGTTGCACCTGCTGATGCTTGAGTCATATGTGTTAACCTAGCCTGCAAGCAAGGTTTTCATTTGCGGAGTAGCGAGACGTCACGCGAGAGCTGCACGCAAGGCCGCGAGTTCGAGGGGCGGGGAAAGAAAGGTAAAAGATTTCCTCCGCCCTTACAACGCTCACCCGATCTTTCACGGTTCGCTTCACTCACCATAACCGCAGAGCTTGCTGACAGGCTAGTGTAAACCAGGCCTTAGAGGTGAAATACAAAGGTTCCTATCTTTTTACTACTAGCAAAATGGACAAATAAAATGATGACCAGAGTTAGAAAACGTTCTGCAACGAAATGGACAAATACCAAACAGGGAACTTATGCGTACATGTTGCAGTTCAAAATTAACTGACTAAAAAATTAAATACAACATAACTATACCTTGTACATAAACGTTTTGTTTGCTACCGTCCGAGCAAGTGAAATTAGGGGAAATTATCTCGTTAATTACCTTTGCACCATCATAGAAGAAGCAGTCCATGATGCTAACAGCACTTGAGAATGGCATGACGCTACAATTAACAACAATCAAAGACGAAAGTTATCATCAGGATGCCTACAGAGACAGTAGCAAGACTTAAAGGTGCTTTGGTCATGTCGGTAGCCAGCTGCCTGCATAGCTGACGGTTTCGTTCAAGCTCGGTTAAAGGAAACTTCATTCGCGGAAAAAACGAGCAACAAATCCACAAAAGAAAAAGGGAGCAGGAAAGGCGGCTCCTCTCTTCATCTTCTTTTTTCTCACGCGGTCTTGCCTCTCGTTTTCGCGGCGAATCCTTCCTCGTACCTTAAGATCCATGGAAACTGGCAGCTATCATACGAGAGAAAGCGAACCTATAGTTTCTTAGCCTTTAAAGCTTTTCTGAAATACAAATTATCTAGAGAGCCTTCAAGAGTCCGTGAATCCTTGAGCCTTTTGCCGTAAAAAAACTCGACTTGTTCAGTTATTTCTGTTATTGGGATGTATTTAACTATTCATTTTTGTAATTAATAATTGCAACATCCTGGATACCAGTTGTATCTTTTCTGTTCCTTTTCTTTTAGTTTTGCCATGTCATTCTTTGTTTGTTAATATTGTATATTGTGTTGTACTTATCAATAAGCTTCAATATCAAAAAAAAGCTATCAAGCGAGTTGTTTTCAACCTTGTTGTTGTCCACTAAGAAATGTTTGTGACAGTACCTGAGAAAAAGAGTCAGAAACCAGGAGAGTGATATCATGTTTAGAATTCCAAGTTCCATCAGATGATCGTACAACTCCGGCAAGTGATCCCTAGTGAGGTCTTCAAATACACCTGGATACAGAAAAGGAAATTCATCAAAGATCGCATCATGAAAATAGACGAATGGTACTTCTTCTGGGGAAAATTCTCTCTTGTCCCAAGTCTGATATAACACATATACATGTAAATACTAGACTCTCAAAATACCGTTTAAGCTCCCCTTAAAGGTTTACAATGTACATAGAACTGCAAACTGAATTATTTGTCTTTCTTGAAAGGACGTATGTTCGGCTAAGTGACCATTTTGGAAGAACAAAAACAACGAAAAAGGTTGGACTCAATTCAACCACGGACGAATTACATGTTTTCAACGAAAATTGTGCACAGTAGATGTGGGATTCGCCGATAGACTGATTACTGCAATATATTTTCTGCAATAATGTTATCTCGTTGATTCGAAAATTAACATGTGCTCAACGTAGACTTCATTCACCGCACAAAACGATAGTCTTTGTCTGGACATTACGTCTGACTACAGTCAAGATTTCGTCGGACATGGGCTAATTTTTAGTCGGCCATTGTTCGATGACTGCCGACCCAAAGAACCAATTAGAACTCGAGGTAGAGACATCCAGCGAGTGCAAACGCGGGAAAAAGCATGCTATAGGTTCAGGCGGTGTGCGTCACGAGATTCGACCAATCAGAATGCGTCATTTGTAGAGTGAGTTTCGCGCTCGGAAAGAGCTTTTTGCAGAGGTATACGTGGTGAAATTTTCGCTTTATTCCAAGCTTGTGTTGGTAATTTCGACACTATACCGCCGTGGAAAGTTGTTGGAACACTTTATCTTGATAGCAGTTGCGTTACTTTTAAATATTTTGCTTTCTTGAGCGTTTGTGACGAATTTGAATTGCTCGGTCATGTGCGGGCCGCCATGAGGATTTGAATGTTGTTTTTGCCGTTCTTCTTGGCTTTATTGCTGGTTACTGTTAGCGGTTTTATCGAATTATTTTGGCCATCTTGTTACTTCAACCCTTCTTCTTTGCAAGTTTCGGGGTCTACCCGGGTCTACCCCTGTTAGTTTTCCAGTTATGAGCCGTTGAAAGTGTCTTGGAATTAAGACATCGTCTCAGCCAAGTGGCACAACTCCCGGGAAACGGGCTGAGAAAACATGCCGAAGCGGAAGCCGACGTGAAGCGAGTAACGCCAAATCCAGGAAGACTTTGTTCTATTTTAAACCACAAAAGGTAAATAAGTTTGAATATTGTAATAACCTTTGGAAACAAGACATTTTTCATAACCCAGTGCGGAAACTGAAAGCGTGACTTTAAAATAATTTGCATGCGGTGTGTGCTATCTTTGTGTAAACTTTAATACGTGAGGGAATGAATTGTTATAAATCTCTACCAAAACACAACACCATTATCGAAGATCCAGACAACATACAGGATTTTAAAACTGTGAGGATAGGTTTTACTTTATAACAAAATCGATATACTGCGCTCACTTCAATGACCGCACAGACAAGATCGTGGTTTATTTCAATGTTTATTTCTGCGGCTGTAGCTTCGGTGTGTGCTGCAGCTGTTCGGCTCTTTCGGTCCGTTTTCCCCTTGCCTGATTGAAGATTTATTTGCTCATAAGGATTTCAAGCGGGCACTGTTTTCAAAATAATATAAACTTGTCGATGAAAATAAAATTGTTATGAGAGACGATTTCTCACCTTGCTGTTTGCACGCGCTCCCCCTGCTTTGCGGGTAAGAAAGTCCATCAAATATATAAACACTTCTAATGAATGAATTTTTTTTTAGTTAAGCAAATCCAGGTATGAACTACATATCTCTTTAACTGTGAGATAAAAACACATATAAACCAAACAGTACATAAAATCTTATGAGAAGCAGGAAATTAGTCGCCGCTCAAAGTCGGCTAGATCGCACGATCGTCTCGGAATCGCGATAAACTTCTTGAAATTGTCTTGTGAAGCCAATAGCAAGCATCTAAGGCCACTATGAGATCTTGAAATTTCTCGAAATCGCTCTCTTGCGTAATGTTTTTCGGAAAAGGCAGCAGTGTTTTGATCCCTGGGTTTGATTCATTTCTCTTACGAGATGCGAACTCGACCGTGTCACGATTGAAATGAGGCACAGTAACAGTTTTACCCATGAACCTTTGTGGGTCGTGACGCACACCGCCTGCTATAGGTTGTGACTGTTTTCACTTCTGATTGGTCGAGAAAGTGGCAAGAGATTTCCACAAAGAGGCAATCAGCGCGGGAAAAAGCACGCGAGGAGGTAATACAGATACAACTCCATTAAGCGGCCACTATTAGGCGGCTCGTAATCGAAGTCCTAAAGTAACTGTAGAAAAGAATGAGAAATTAAACCTAAAATTAGGCGAACACCTCCATCAAGCGTTTGACAAACTTAGTTTTCCTTTATTCCAAGAAAATGATGAAGGAAAATACATTCCGAGACAAGGTGACGACCGATTGTGGATCTTGTGGATCAGTAATGCTTATGTTTCTGCTAAAGATTATGCTAATTTATGACGAGCCTCTATTGAGCGGCTAACCTTCATCAAGCGGCCACATGCCGATACCCCGAGGGTGACCGCTTAGTTAAGGTTCAACTGTAACTTTATGAACTGTTTTTACTTCAGACTATTTGAGAAAGTGGCGCGAGAATTTTCAGTCAATCACAAAGCATAGCGATGAAAACCAAGGCAGTTACAAAATTACTTTCGCCATTGAAACGAAACCAAATCAAGGCCTGCTGTAGTACCGCCCGCCTCACCTTGATCTACAAGAGCTCCTACTACTCTAGTGTTATAGTAGTCTGGTAAGAGACGTTCACAAACAGCTACTAACAGCCAGAAGGCTTCCTCTTCTGTGCAATACAATAGCAGCACTGACGCCACAATGTTCATAGCTTGACAATACCCTGAAAGACGAGAAGTGATCTTTTATTTCAAATTGAAAAAAAACCTTTTTGGTACCTGAAGGTAATTCTTCCACTGTGAGCAAAACCCAAGAAATTTATTGCAAGGAAAATGGTCCAGTAATAACGATAAACAAGTTTTAAAAAAAAACTTGCCGCAACTAAACAACACCCCTCACCCTAACCAAGCTGGTCAATCTGGGATCGTTTACTAAGTGTAAATATACGATAAGTTTAGTCAGATATTCAGTAATTGGTCTGTCTTGGAGTATTCTATGTTGTTACAACATCATTATATCAAAATAAATCAGCAATTATGTAACACAAGCGGAAAAAAAAGCAGTGGTTGAATAAGCAAAACAACAACTCCGCATGGCATTACACTTTTTATACTCTTCCTTCCGTTGCCGTCACTAAACGATTGCGATGTGAAACTTCACAAAACGACGTTAGTATGGAGAGGGTAAATGCATGACAGCCTCTTGCTTTTTGTCTTTCTTGGCTTAGGCGCGGTCTCTAAGAATTCAATTTCGGTACAATCATTCGCTAACATTTGACAAATTACCGTAAATCCTCTATTAAGCCCCGGGGGCTTATTTATTTCAAGCCCATTTGAGGCAGGGGGTTTATTTGAGAGGGGGGCGGGGGGCTTCTTTATTTTAGAAAAGACAATGGTATTAGTTCTTCACAAAGAACTAGAATACGACGTCGACAAGCTCCAATACAAAAAGTTTTAGGTCATGCAGTCAAGGATCAGAATCAATTCCGATCTTCCAGTTGGTAATTAAATAAACCATCCCGAATCCGTCCACACGAAGTTTTACAGTCGTGATTGATTAATACAGTCTATCATTTATCATTAAAGAATAATTAGGGGAGGGGAGGGGGGCTAAATAGAGAGGGGGGGCTTATTCACTTTCTTCCCCTGAAAAGGGGGGCTTATTAGAGGGAGGGGGCATATTTGAGAGGAGGGGCGTAATAGAGGATTTACGGTAGGCGAGTTGTAATCATCTAACTAAAGTGGGAATCGCACATATTCAAGTGTCGTTCTTGCCGCTGTTACCGTTGTGGTTGCTTAAACTTCCTAATAACTAGTTACTCCTGCAGGATGATTGAGTCCTGTGTTACATAATAAGTTGTGTTCTTTCACTGATGTACCAACCTATGCTGGGGTTTCTCCAAGCGTAAGCTGTTAAAACTCTTCTCAGGGCAGCAATTCCCACTTCAGATTGGAAAGCGGGGTGTTCAGGAAGCGATCTGAAGAGACAAACAAAACTTCAAGTGTGGAGAGCAATATTATATTCACAGCATTTTTTGAAAGGTTAAATAGGAGTGATACTACTAAAGCCCAGCATTCCAAAAGCGACCACCAAACACGTCATGATTTATGGTCCTTTCCGCCCGGGGGGGGTACTTTAGGAATTTCTGGGTGGGGATGTGCCGCTGGGACCCTGGAATCCTTAACCTATACCAGAGCTAGTTCAGCTGAATTTTGCTACCCTATAATATAGTAAACTCCCCAAGTCCCCCCTATCCTAGAGTAGCTGTTTTCCAGAAATTACCAAGGTCACTAGCACAGTCTAGCCAAAACAAAACCTTATACCACAATCCCTAGTCTAGATAAAATCTTCAACCAACTGATCAGTGTCCTGAAAAATGATACCCTATTCTAGACCCAAATGCTCTGATATACCCTATCCTAGGGTAAACTGCTTGAAAACCATACCCTTCACAGCGACACATACCTATATAGCCCACATACGGCAGTACCCCCCGCCCCGGGCCTATCAGGAGTTATCAACTTTCCTGCTTGGACTGGGAAACTAAATTTGAAACCTGTAGTTTGGATAGGCAGTTCAAGTAGAAAACGTGGTCGCACGCAGAAGTGCGATTGATTCTATTTTAGACCATTACAAACCAGTACTTCTACTTAATGTGCGTTAATGACCAAGTGTTACAAAGTAGGTCAAGATGAAAAATGAACGAGGCTAATATTCACCCATCTTTACAGAACAAGCTTGGTCTATAAAGGGTTTATCATATGGACAAAACAAAATCTTTTCTTTCCCGACAAATCAAGCGATCCCGAGTGGGCAAGTTAGGCCCATCTCATTTTGCACGGTCGTGTAGTCAAACACAACACAGGATTCGCTACCTCTTACCCACAACGCGGGATCAGACATACAATGAAGTCTATATGGCTCTCTTGGTTTACAATAACTCACCTATGAAGGTCTCGTTCAATTTCCTCTGTTGCTAATGAGTTATTTCCTTCACATTCGTCAACATATTTTGCATAGTAACCGGGATGGGTTTGGATCTGCAACAATAAAATGTACAAATATAAGCACTTTTTTGTCATCAAATCTAGAAATGGTCGGCAATTTATGAACATCCCTCTAGTTCTGGAAATGGTAAGCGTCCGAAACAGGTTCTTTCCAAACTCAGAGAGCGTCGTTGTTTTTTACGTAATTTTGGTAAAAAATGACAAAAAATGTCATTCCTTTTGCTGCCCGACGTATTGACTATTGAGAAGCAAAGACAACAGAAAACGTCTGACAAAATTAATGCATTTTAGACTGCGAACAGTCTTTCTTTTTCTTCAAGTTAAGTGAAGGGAGACACGCGAGACGCCTTCAGTCACGCGCGCTTTGCTCGATGGATTTAGAAAAAAGAAAGAGTGCGTGCTGTCTAAATGCATTTAAATAGCACAATATACCAAACCACGCCTCTGTATGTTGTGGGCACTTGAAGAGTCCACTCTACAAAGTGATTAATTTTTTTGTCATCCTTCATTTACAGCGGTTACCACCAACACGCGCTTTCAAAGGGTTTTTCTTCGGTTCAAACCTGCGCTTTGGTGTATGTCAATCAACTGTTAAAAATAATAGAGAACATCATACGAGAAAATGCTTTTGAACAAAGGAAAAAGGAAAATCGGTCTACGACAACTGCGCCCGGGGGAGTAGCAATACTACTAGGTCCTTCATCCTGCAGAAAGCAAGTTAATCTCCGATCGTGTTGGGTGGACTGTGGGTTCTAGTGCGTTTTTACCTTACATTCTGCATATTACCTGATTGATGGCACCAGAGAATATAAGCCACACCTCAGCCCTCAGACTGTCAGGAACTCCTTTGAGTATCAAGTCATGTGTCTTAACGGTACGATACATACATACACCCCTACAATAAAAAGGCAACATTAACATAACAGTACGGCTAAACAGCCAGTTTTTGCTTGGGTCAAGAATGCGCGAGCTGTCAAACGACAGGTTTAGAACAAGGGTGAAAACAGAGAGTGAGTTTTAACACTGAGACTTGTGTCACGTATATCTACATCTACATGATCTACATAATTTATTTGCAAAATCGTATAAGGACATCTAGAAAATTCCAGTGAAAAGTGCAAGAATAAAAATGAATAAATAAATATGGGCAAATAAGGTAATAAATAATTGTCGTATAGTAATGATGACACAAATAACAATCACTTAATAATTAAGTTGATAAACTAAATCTTAAGCACAGATATAAATATTTACAGCAGCTTTAAAATGATATTTGTCGGTAAACTTTTCCAGTCATTAATATTATTGTTCTAGGCCTATAACTGTATAATTTATACTCATCACATGATGTTTGCACTGGAATAAACCTCATTGGGTGAGAGTTTCTTGTTTTCATTACAGTTTTATGTTTCACATAAGGTGGTATATTAATTGCTGCTTGGCCATGTAGTGTCTTGTACATTAAAGTTAGTCTGTTCACTTTCCTTCTACGCTCCACGCTCTGCAACTTGGAGAATACACTGGCTGTCAAGGGAATTTACCTTCCATACTCTGCAAAATGAAGTCTCCATAAATGTTCTTTGACAGTCTCTTTAGCATTCACATGATCAGTAGGAGTACTAGAAAACACAGTGGTAAGGGGTGGCTGAAATGTTGGTTTCTTCTTTGGCGGACTGCTGCCGAATATCCACTCATCTTTATCATTAGATCTGATAAGAAATGCAATAGGCAAGATTTAATCAAGATTTCAAGGGCTGTTCAGTGGTTTATACACTAATGCCTTGAGTCATTTGATATGATATGCAATTCTCCCTTTGATTTACA